TCTTTCTTCATTGAATTGACCAAGGTTCAAACTCGAATGATAACATTTTTAATATATAAAAAATTACTGGGTGCAATAACAAAAATGACCTTCCTAGAATCACTCTCAGACCACGAAATTTGAAATGAGACAATTCTAACCGATGTTTTGCCATTATATATCTTGTAGATTAACAAAGTGTTCTCAATTATGGTGCAGCAGAGAGATAGAGAGAATACCCTATTAATTACCCAAGTATGCTTCCAAGCAAAATCCTAATCATGCTTCTGATAACATGACCTTCTTTAGCAAAGCAGCATGGAATAATATGAAGGAACTGATCAAGATTTTAAGAGGCAAGAAAAGATACCAGTATATACCTATTGTGATACCGTGGCAGAGTTAGAAGTTGAAAACTTGAAATAAGATGCATTTTTTTAATAAAATTAAATTATTTTGATTGGGATTTCACTTATAGTATAATAAAATAATTTATGAAAAATCAAACAATAATAAGTGAGTTTTAGTACATCAGAAAAATACATTAATCGTATATTAAATTGGCGACTTCAATCCCTTCCATATGCATACACAATGATTTATTTTCGTTTTACCATAGAGCCCAACCCCTCTGGCTCTACCACTGTGTGGATATACATATCATATTGAGGATATCTGTTACATAAATGATATGCCTCTGGTTATCGGTCAAAGAAGAAAACCAAATCCATATAAGCTAACAGTGTCTCAATGGGGCTGAGACCCGAGTATATGAAAAACTCATACTCATGCTGTCATGCATATTCTACCCTACTCATAAATTTGAAAACCGACTATCATAGTTAGTAAATACTGCGTTTAATACAAATATGTGTACACGTACATATTTTATCCGTTCAAAATTTTCATATCCGTATTATTGTATATCCGTTTCATTTTTATCCGTCCATTTTAATACTTTTATACTAAACACGTATATAACCCGTATAACACGTTTACTTTCCGTATTTAATGAATTAAATTGTTAATTTTACTATTAAACATAACATTTGCTTAGAGATCAAGTAAAATACTCATATACGATAACTTCCTCATACCGTATTTTACTAACCATGTTGGCTACTACAGTGGCCCAGAACTGTTTCTCCCCATATTAACCTAGTAAAGACTTGGGGCAAGTAGGGCTGGAGGCTCGGTTATCGGTTGCCGATTAACCGGCCAGTTAAACCGATAACCGGCGGTTAACGATTAACCGATAACCGAAAATTATATGCTTCGGTCGGTGGTCGGAGCTCCTAATAGGTAATTCGGTTAACCGAGTAACCGAAAACTGGTTATCCGGTTAACCGACAATAACCGAACGACCACCCCCCTCACCAAAACGACGTGAAAATACCTGGTTATGAAGTTTATAACTTTATGTTGTTGAATTTGAGACATTAATTTGGTGATTTAGATGTATTCTATGCAAAAGTGATTGAGACTTTACTTTGGGTGTGATTTAGATGTAGAAATGTAAGTTAGAACCTTTCATTTTAGGCGATTCTAATAATTTTACCCGGTTAAAACCGAACCACCATCATTTTTTCGGCTATCTCGATTAACCGACCAACTAACCGATAACCGACCGGTCGGTTATTGGTTAACCGAGACATTGGCACGGTCGGTGTTCGGTAGGGGAAGATGGTGGTTCGGTTAACCGGTAACCGACCAATCGGTTCGGTTATAACCGAACCGAATCGAATCCACCCCTAGGGGCAAAGAAACCTTGAAGGGGAATGCATTTCCTCTTTCCAAAATAAAGAAAAGATGTCGCCTTGAATTCGAGATCGATCCCTAATCTCATTAATGGTGGTTTTTCTGAGCAGGTTTAGGCCTACGTTTTTTAGGCCCGCACTAAGATGAAGGTAGACGATTAGAGACAGCAGTGGTCGGTCTTCTGACTTGGCCGGAGCTCCTTGTTTTGCATTTAATGCAGTCATATCCCACGGTTAGTATCGGCGCTTGAATCAAGGAGCTGGGCCGGGCTGGGGCCCGTGGGCCACCACACCATTGGCACATTTAATAGCCCACAGAAGTAGGACTAGTAGTAACAGTGAGGAAGGAAGGGTGATGGAGGCAGGAGTGGAAAATAAGAGACACCAAATCGAGAGAGAGAGAGAGAGAGGCACGGGGAGGATGGTGAAGTAGAATTTGGAATTTGGCGTGACAGTGATATCCAGAGAGAGATGCATCCGTTGGTGAATAAGACGGTTCATTTAATGTCATGGGTGGGCCGGTAAAATAGTAAATAAAGTAGACCCCAAGACTTGGAAGAAACACTCACTACTCCGGCGAGCAAATGAGGGAAGGAGAAACAAAACTTAAAGAACACTCACTACTCCGGCGAGCAAGTGAGGGAAGGAGGAACAAAAGCTTTTTTGAAATTAGTTTAAGAATATAACGTGACATGTTTGGTTTGATCGGACTGTGCGTTAAAGTGATGTCTTAAAATTCAGAGATTTGATCGTGTTATTTTCTTGACGGTGGTGGCTATGCGCAAGATTCTCGATTCGACGACAGTGATTGAGGTTCATGGGATTCCTCGTTGTCTACAAGTTTGTGCGGATTGGGTGGCTTATGCTCAAGCTCACTCTTCTCATGGTTGGCTCGCCATTCTTGAACTTTCAGCTTGGATGAGAATCTGGTTATGAATGAAAGACATTATAGGGACGCAATGGTCCGTTCCGGATCAAACTCATGAGGACTTTGGTTCAATAGCGAAAGACATTTTATGACCGAGAACCTGACCAACATTACATTTGATCCAATTTGGTCCGGTTTGGTATGATCCAAATGTCAATTCAAACCATTTTTCTTCAGTATTTATAAAATTAACGGGGCCATACCACAATTTATTTGATTATGTTTGGTCCGTCCAAGCGTCGGTGTGACCCTGTACAGACCAAACTGTTGCATATCCCTAAATACACACATACAACATATGCATCAAATAAATAAATAAATTTACAAATTTCTCTTTAACTTGTACAGTTTAGGTTATGTTCCTTAATTTCTTAAATATGGCTAATTTATTAGGCGAAAGAAAGAAAGAAAAATTAATTGTCAACCAGTTGAGAAATATAACTTTGAGAATGTAAAAATAGTATTAAAGAAAATTTTGATTGCTGCACATTCATATCGGCGAAACACGAATTTTGAGGAGGAGAAAGTAGAAGGGAAGCTAAGTGTTGTTTATTTAGTTGAGGATTAAAGAAGTATGAGTGAAACTCGAGTTTGGCTCGTTGAACAAATTTATTGAGCTAAGATTTGAGCTAACAAATAGAGCTCGAACGGATTCTTGTTTCAAATTTGTATCAAACTTGAATTAAATTTCAGCTTAGATATAAAAAAAAATTATAGGCAAAATACACTGGCATAGTCACAACTTTTCACTTTGTGCCAACAATAGCCAAAATTTGAAAAATACAGAGAAATAGCCGCGTTTTTTAAACTTATTTGCACAATCTAGCCATTACCGTTAAATTATTTAACGCCTTTAACCTCTCCGTCAGTTTAGTCGATGGTATGCTTACGTGGCCGCCACATGTCCTACACCTATTTGCCACGTAGACGAACTATTGCCACCTATTTAACACGTCATTATCTAAAATAAAATAAAAACATTTTCCCTATAAAAATCCCTAACCTCACCCCTGCTGCGAACCCCTTTTCACGATTCTAATTTCCCCTCTTCCTCGCTAGGTTTCCGACGCCGCCGCTCCTCCGGGATTTCTCTTCCCCTGACGACGCTCCTCTCCCCCGACGTCTCTCCCCCGACGACGCCTTCTCCCTCGACCTTTCTCCCCAGAAAATGCCTCACTCCCCCGACTTCTCTCCCCCCGACGACGCCCCTCTTCCTCGACCTCTCCCCCGACGTCTCTTCCCCGACGACGCCTTCTCCCTCGACCTTTCTCCCCAGACGTTTCCCTCCCCGTCGACGCCCCTCCCTTTCGACAAAAATTGCAATCATGTCATAGAGGATTGGGAGTGGCAAATCGTTCAAGGTGGGTGATTCGGGTTCAACAAGCGTAAACAATTCAAGGCTCGTCCAGTGCTTGCATAAAAAACCTTGTGTCGTTCAAACCTCCGGAACTGATCTGAATCCAGGCCGGAAATTCTACGGCTGTCCTTATTGGAAGGTAACAGAAGCATATTTGGATTACTCATTTGGTTCGAATCATATGTGTGATGATTACAGATGGTTTGACAATGCAGGATCCGAAGATGAACTGCGATTATTTTAGGTGGGTTGGAACTAATGGTGATGATTTTAACGGACATGACACTGAAGTGGAGGCTACAATTCTCAAGTTGGAAGAGAGTATTAAGCGAGCACAGTGCAGGGCCGAGAGGAGGAAGAAGGAAAAACAACTGGTGGCTGAAGAACTAATCAATGTAATGGCGGTTCACGATGCTCTGTTAGCTGAGACAAGGAGTATGAAATCTGATGTTAAGCTGAATAGATATATGTTGACCATTTTATTCATAGTGAATGTAATGGTGCTTGTAGTCATCTGTAGTATGGAGTAGTAGTAAGACCTTTCAGGTTGTGATTTGTAACACTCGCCCTAAAGGAATGGAAGACTTTGAATGCAAGATCAATGTTATCATAATTTAGCATTCCTTGAAACCAACATTGATAAAGTGGTACATGTTCCTGATTACACCTAATTTTGACAGAATCAAAAGCTCCTTGGACCTAACATTATAACTAAAGAGCATGTTCCTGATTACACCTAAAGAAAGAACAAATGCAAACTTGAGTTTTCAGAAGCATACTACCAAGTGAAAACCATGTCTTCACGATGTTCCTGATTACACCTAAATAACCGATTCTAGAGGGGGTCCTGATTACACCTAAATAACCGAGAAGTGGAGGGGGGTTACAATCCACTCTCTCACGCCATTACATGAGCCATCCAAAATACAACCCAAATACCATTACACAAAAAATATGGCTCATGTAACAACATTGTCGTCTAAGGCTGAGATGGTGGGGGCTGACTTCCTCCCAGCTCCACCATATTTGCTTCGACAGCTCTAGGTTGTTGAGATGGACCCGAATCAAAAGCTCTACCACGTGCTCCATTAAGCTGAAATAGACAGGTCGAAGGCAATTAAATTGTCGGACGTTGAAAAGGAATACAATAAGGGGTAGAAGTGGTTACAAGTAGAGATCTTATACTAACCCGTACATACTGGTTGTCGGTTCTCTCATCCACGTAAACACCCACCCCAGTTGTTGCAACACGCAACTCCCTTTCTATTGTCCTTCTATCAGCAACATTCAGTCTCACATCCTACATGCATTAATCTAGTTGGTTCAATATATAGGGCAAAACTCGACATCCACAAGATTAAGTTAAATTACCTGTATCCCATTTGCTCTGTTTAGAGGACAAGTCCTCGCATTGTGGGTAGGTGAGCCACATTTTGAACAATGAGATCCTCTCTTCTGCCCTTGAGCGTTGCCAGCATCTTGTGGTGCAGCTCGTTTTCCTCTAGATCTTGTATTGATCTGCAAGAAACAGATATAACCATGAATTAGAAGCAATTAGAAGCAATAGTTTACACCAAGAATTAGACAATGCAAAAGCAAACTCACCATTGGTTGTGCAGCTGCCGGCTCTCTCACCACTTGTCGGTGAGCAACGGGCTCTCTCGCCACTTGTCGGGCAGCAACGGGTTCTTTGAACGACCTTGCATTGTGGCCCTCCCCACCACATTTGCCGCAATGGATTATGGTACCTTTCTTAGTCAATTCTTGTCCATTTCCTGTGGCTCTTGTTTCAAACTCAATTGCTGCCTTCCTTCTGTTCTTCTTTGGCCGACCAGGCATTGATCTGCTCTTAGGAGGGTGAACAGGATAGCCTGAAGCCTCGGGCCACGCTTGTCTGCCGTCCCAACAAGGTATTCCATGCTTATATGCTTTGGTTACCGTACTGCTGTGGTAAAAGGGGTGGACGTAATCCTCCACTTCTAGCCTACAATGTGTGATGGCAGAAATGGCATGGAAGCAAGGTAAACCACTTAGCGCCCAATAACCACAAGTGCAGGTGCATCCCAGAAGATCAACAATGTACCCTTCAGCTCCCATTTTGACTTCACACTTAGCAAACATGGTCTGTCTGGCAACACATAACCTGGCAAATTCCTTCTCTTTCTCCACACGTTTCCTGATTCTCGGACACAATACATCAGCGTTCTCGCGCAACATCCTGTACTTGATCAATACTCTGTCCATCATATATCCCCTAATGCCTTCCAACATATCTACTATCCGAAACCCCCTATACTTGACAATGCTTCCGTTCCACGTCTCTCATATATTGCTCTCAACAGAGTCACATTTCGGAACACTTGACAAGAATGCACGACAAAATGTAGTTGGTTCAGCCGCCATGAAATCCGTATATGGGGTAGTGGACTCACCCGTACCTTCAATGGACTGCATTTCAGAAGTGGCCTTCTTCCACTCCACTTTGTTGCACGCATATACAGCCCTCCAAACAGCTTTCGAACTCGATCTGTTTTGTGCTTCGCCTTCCAGTTGGCAAATACATGGCGAGCACATTTACGATGTTCAGCGTCAGGCAATATTTCATGAATGGCCTCAACTAAACCCTGCAATAGAACAAATTTATCAGTTTTCACCACACATGTTATGACAGAAAGAATAACTTAACTGAAGGTAAAGAACCACAGTTTACATACCTTCTGCTGGTCTGATATAACTGTCCACCCTCTGCCATCCAAAATATAAAGATCTTGAGCTAGAGTTCGCACAAACCATGAACAAGAATCGTGGTTCTCCCCCTCAACCACGGCCCAAGCAATCGAAAACATCTGATTTTATTCCCATCTTTACCCACAGCTGTGAGGAGCATGACCTTAACCTCCCCTTTCAGAAAACAACCATCCAAAGCAAACATTGGTCGACAGCCCTCTAGAAAACCCTTCCTCAATCCAGAAAAACCAACATAGGATCGCTGAAAATAACACTTGTCACCACTTGGATGAGGCTCGACTTCTAAATGGAAACAACCCATTTCATCACGTTTCTTTAACTTAGCGACGTAGCTCCTCAACTTCTTATATTCTTCGACCAAAGAACCACTCAAGAGCCCTATAGCCTCCACCTTTGCCCTGTAACAGGTTCTCCTCTTAACCTCCATGTTGTGTTTTAACTTGACCTCAACAACGATCTGGTCTGGTGCCCATTCAGGATTAATCCTGAATCGCTCAAGCATATCTTTTGCTATCCACTTCGCAGTTAATTGGTTAACTCGAAGCTGTCTTGAACACGAGTGTGGTGCCCCAACTTTCCTCACCATGAAACTTCGATCCTTCCTAAACTAGCTAGCATACAGCCCCCACTTGCAGTTGGGTGCCTTGCACTTTACCTCCCTCCTTGTCGGATTACTCCTCAACCACCTAATACTTGCACCGGCTGCAATAGAATGCTGGATTACGACATCCTTGAACTGCTCCGGACTCTCAAACTTCTGTTTCACCACGAATTGTAGGGATTTGTGGTCACAGTTAGGGTCATAATGTGTAGCATCATCATAAGGTTCACCACCGTTCTCCTCAGACAAGTTGGGACGCACATGATCAGAATTCTCGGACAACCTATAACTTGAATGATTCGAACCCTCTGGTCTATCTTGCTCAGGCCAAGATGGATGCTGGTTGGAAAGGGAGGGATTTGTTGCATCATTCCCTACATCAATCCCTTCTTCCTCCTCATTCACATTCCCTTCATTCACATTGGCTGCCTCATCGCCTCCTTCCTCTTCACTTTCAGAAGACAATTCCTCAAAATCATCTAACTGCTCCACCTCCTCACCATTAGCAAGCTGTCTGGCCTTAACTTTCCTTTTTCTTGACTCTCCATATGCTCTTAAGTTGGCCTTTGCCTCCAAGTATTCATCATCAGAGGTGCGTGCATCATCAGAATCCTCCACGTGGTAGATATCTCGTGCAACAGATGCATTGGCATCATCTTCTGGTGACAGGTAATCTTCTTCATCAACAGCCATGTCTGGGTCATTCTCCCCAATCAACTCTTCCCATGAATTTGACATCTGTACACAAATGGGTCAACTAAGTGATTATTTGCTAATTAAAAAACAAAACAACAAATAATAAACAATACACAAAGCACAAACAGACAACAAACAACAATAAACAATGTGATTCAGTTCACTACTTCTACTTGAATGAGTTCATTCACTGTGAATTGATCATTTCATCCACAAGTTTCAGTTCTTTACCTCACGCTTTAAGGGTAATCTCGTGACAAACAGAAGTTGTGGTCCCTGGAAGTAATTGCAGTGTCGCTTTCTCACCAAACTCAGCCCTATAAATTGCAAACATCTCGAGGTTAATCGAGTTTCCCTTCTTCTCACCAAACTCAGCCCTATAAATTGAAAACATACCATATAAGAGGGTGAGAATGAACCTGTCCGACAATAATCGAGTTTCCCTTCTTCTCGAGCTGCCGAATCTGAGTTAGGGTTTTCCGCCAATCGTCTTCTTCACCGCTGCTAGTAGGGATTGGCTGTTGTCGAAGTCTCTCCCCTCACCCATAGGGATGGCAACAAAACCCGAACCCACGGGTACCCACCCGACCCAACCCGGTCAACACGGGTAAAATCCGTGTTGACGGGTTTTGGGGCGGGTTTGGGTTTAAACCCGTTCACTATTCATCGGGTTGGGTTGGGTTTGGGTTTAGATAAAACCGACCCATGGGTACCCGCCCACACCCATATAATTAATTTTCTTGGTATATTTAATATTCTAAACAACTAATCTTATTTATGTTTGTGGAGACATGTCTAATTTTTTCTTTCTAATTGTGTAGAATGAAGTTGATGTTATCGAGTGGAGAGTGAAGAAACTTAATTGAAAGGAAGAAGCTTTCAATTAATCATGTTATTTATGAATAATTTGTGCTTCAATTTTCTTGAGTTTTCTAGATTGGTGTTGAACAATTTGTATAGTTAATTTGTGATTTGCTTGAATTTTCTAGAATAGTGTTTTAAATATGGATAATTTGTATTGAGAGATTGATATTTGACTTTAATTTTGATGGGAACTTGTTATTGTAAATTTTTTACAACAAAACCCGTGGGTACCCATGCACCCGCGGATACCCAGAGGGTTGGGTTGGGTTTGAGTTTTTCAAACCCAGTGGGTTTTACCCTGGGTTTTTTTCACGGATAAACCCATGGATTTGGGTTTGGGTTTGACAAAACCCGACCCAACCCGACCCATTGCCATCCCTACTCACCCACTCGTTCTTTGGGCGTATAAAAGAGAAGTCGGGTCGGCGGCGTTGGTTTTATCCGCCGTCGGGATGCATGTTGGATTTGGGAACAAAGACGCCCAGATGAGAGGAAGTGGAAAGGACGCGCAATAAACGAGTCGCGACAGGCAGCAGTCGGCGGAGGCCGCACCAAATCATCTCCGTCAACGGCAGTGGGCCGTCGATTGGAAAGAATGGGATCGGAAAGAACGGAAAGGGTTTCGTCGGGTGAAAAGTGAAATTGGTAGGGTTAGAGATCGACGAAAAGGGGCTGGGCGAAAAGGGAGGGGCCTTTTCGTTTTTATATTTTTTAAATAAAAAAAATTAAAAATCATCAATTCCATCTGGCGACAATAGCGTTGGAGACGTGCCACATCAGCGAGAACCGTTAGCCTAGTCAGCAGTTCAAGTTCGTCCGTTAAAGTATTAGACGGATTGGCTATTTCTCTGTATTTTTCAAAATTTGGCTATTGTTAGCACAAAATGGAAAGTTGTGGCTATGCGAGTATATTTTGCCAAAAGTATAAGAACTCCAATCAAATAAAATTCGACTCAACTTGATTCGTTAACTCCTATACTCGGATTAATTCTGGGGAGGTGAGATCCCACATTTTATGGTGTTATGTAGGTTGACGACAAAAGCTTGTTAATTGCCTTTGATGTGGGGAGCGAGCGGTGTGGTGTGCCCTCGTTTTGCCGCAAACCATCTTGTCTAATAAAAGTGACGTTTAGCAAAATATAAATAGGGGGATTGACTTAATTATTGTAGTTGTAGTTTTGTTGACACTTGTTGTTGTTGTTATCAGGATGGGAGACAGCCAACCATCTTGGCTCCTTCACCTCATCTCTCAGACAAGAGAGGTTGACGTTGTGGCTTGTTATGACCAATCCATGGCGGGGTTGTAGGCTCTAGCTAGCCATCAAACATTTCCACCAAATTTCATCTTCACATATGAAGCTCCAAGGTTTTGTTTCGGGTAGGAAAATCGTATAACTTTTCAAAGATTTTTTTTTTACCAAGATATTGTTTGCTTGGGTGTAGATCTGCACGGTTTTGTCTTAGAGTGTATATAAAGGTGACTTCTTGGAATTTCACTCATCCTTGTATTGCTACAAAGTCTACCGTGAGTATGTTTATACTTTGGAGTTCTTACAATAACACTTCTATGTCAACCAAAAATGTGTATTGTCATTTAAGGTTGGTTTCTTACTTCTGAAGCATAGATCTCTCTCCCGTGCTTTATCGATGTAAGATTTTCCTAAAGTGTTACATATGAATCATTGATCTCTCCCGTGTTTTATCAATGTGTGATTTGTCTAGGTTGTTACATATGAATCATGGATATCTTCTTGTGTTTTTGTCAATGTGGGATTTTCCTAAGGTACGTGTTACATACACCCCCTCAGGGATTCAACATTCTTGTTCAGGTTCGCTCCACCATCGCCAAGGGACGCGGAGAGACTCCGGTACCATTTGTTACATCCCAAACCTTTTTTCGACCAAGATATTGTCTACTTTTGAGCAGATATCCACACGTTTTTTTTCTTCCTTATGGCGCATATCACTGTGACTTCCCGAGATGTCACACATCCTTTGCAATTTGCATTGCTCCACAATGAGCACGTTCAACTTCAAAGTTCAATAAAAAAAAAACTCTTCCATTTAACCCGAAAAAGCTCGTTGTCTGTTAGTATCGATTTCTTACTTACGATTCATGGATCTCTCTCTTACATTGTCGATGTGAGATTTGCCTAAAGTGTTACACTCGTTTACAAGAGCATTAGGGGGAAAAATACACATAAAATAAATTAAAAATTCTAAGAACTTCATTAACAAAAACTGTTCACTCATCTATAAACCCAAACATAATTTCCAAGACGGTGCACAAGTGTCTTATTATTTTTCACTGCTCTCCTCCAACTCCAACTCCAACCCCAACCCCACTCAATCCAACTATATT